GCATAACTTCATAATAAATTGCCTATTCAAAGAATAATTCCATATCAATGAAATCAATTTGTATCCATGCCAGCTCAGCTGAGAAAATGTAAATATCGAGTTCTGATTGCGTTTAAACTAATAGAATGTACATTATCTTACTGTTATTAGCGGTATTTTGTGATTGTCGATGAAGTATAAGTAAATGGCCATTAGTACACCAGGCTGTTTTTAACTGTTTAGCTATAGAAAAAGAAAAGGAAGAAGAAAAAGAATCAGTATTCACAAGAGATCACGTGATGAAACGTAAACCAAATGGTTTCCCTTTTAGGGGATGTGTGTAGGAAAAACATGATATAGGATCGGTTTTGTTATTTCATTTATTTTGAATTTCTAAGGATACAGTAAATAACAATATTTCCAATAATATCATCATTATATAATCAATAAGTAGTCGTCTTATTCTACAGATATACGTTAAATTCAAGAAAATTTGCTATATCTTTTAACCACGTCTTATCTAAAAGTCGCCTTATACGCAGAAATATACGCTAAATTCATAGCATCATTATTCAGTATTTTTCCTTTGAGTTTTTCTTACCTTACTCTGCCTTTTCATTAGAGAAAAAGGATTTCGGTTATGAATTTTCTTCAGCAGAATATTGTTTCTTGTTTCACTCAGCTGACAATAACAAGTCACCAAAATTTGAATACTTGAAGTGACATGCGATGACAGTTGAGCCTTATGGAGAATTATTCAAGTAAAGGTTCGTTTTATGTCTTGTTTTTAAATTGTGAAGAGTCATGTCCAATTCTCTACAGGCGATGCTTTGTGATTTAAGGAAAGGGGAACAAAGGAATTCCATCAAAGATGTAAGAATGAAGGATTGAAGAGAAAAGAACTCTGTAAGAAATAAAGAAAGATTTTCCAAAATCACTTGACAAGAGAAAATATGAATGGCATTGACAGACAGAGAGAGAGGGAGAAGAAAAAGCGAAAATAGATGCAAGAGGAGAAAAATAATATAGTAAAAGAGAGAGAGAGGGAGAGAGAGAGAGAGGGGGGAATAAATGCGAATAGAGAGAGAGGAAGAAAATGGAAAGGGGGAAAAGATGGAGTGAAAGAGAAAAAAGGAATAGAAGTCGAGAAAGAAACGAAAAAGAAAACAGAAAGAGAGAGAAATTGGGAAGTGAGAAAGAGAGTAAGAAGAAGCAAAGAATATGAAGGTAGCAACAGATAGAAGGGAAAGAGAAAATGAGAAGAGAGAGATAGAGAGATGAAGAAAAATATGAAATCCGAAAGGAGAGGGAAAAAGGCAGAATATTCAGAGAGAAAAAACAGATGGGATGGAGATAATGGGAAGTGAAAGAAAAAAATAGACAATGAGCAGAAAGATGAAGAGAAAATAATGGAAAGAGAGAGAGAGAGAGAGAGAGAGAGAGAGAGAGAGAGGAAGAGTAAGTATAATGTAAAGAATGATAATTGTTGAATGTAGGTAGTGAATAAAAAAATACTTTTAAATCAAGAGCGAGACTATAAAATATAGAATAAAATAAAATTTTATTATTCCGAAAGAGAATAAAATTTTATTACCCCGAAAGAGAATAATTTTTTTTATCCGGAAAGAGAATAAAATTTTATTATCCCGAATAATAAAATAAAATATTATTAATCCTGAAAGAGAATTAAATTTATTAGCCCAAATAATAAAATTAGATTTTATCATGCTGAAAGAGAATAAAATTTTATTATCCCAGAACAGAATAAAATTTTATTATCCCGAAAGAAAATAAAATTTTATTATCCTGAAAAAGAATAAAATTCTATTATCCCAAAAGAAAAGAAAATTAGCCCGAATAATAAAATACAATTTTATTATCTTGAAAGAGAATACAATTTTATTATCCCAAATAATAAAATAAAATTTTATTATCACAAAAGAGAATAAAATTAATTAGCGCAATTTATAAAATAAAACTTTATTATCCCAAATAATAGAATAAAATTTTATTATGCACAAAGAGAATAAAATGTTATTATCCCGAAAGAAAATAAAATTTATTAGCGCAAATAATAAAATAAAATTTTATTATCCCGTAAAATAAAATTTTATTATCCCAAAAATGAATAAAATTTTATTATCCCGAAAGAGAATAAAATTTTATTATCCCGAAAGTGAAAAAACTTTATTATTCCGAAAAAAAATGAAATTTAATTATCACGAAAGGGAATAAAATTTTATCTCGAAAGAGAAAAAAATATTATCCTGAATAATAAAAAATAATTTTATTATCCCGAAAGAGAATAAAAGCTTATTAACCCGAATAATAAAATAAAATTTTATTATCCCGAAAAAAAATAAAAATGACAAAATAGAAGAAAAGTCTAGTATTCTTTGTTGCATCACACACACACATGCACATACAAACCTACACATACACACATGCACACATACATATACACGCACACAAACCCATACGCACAACCACACATATACACAGAACTCCCTTACCAACACATACATACACCACCACCCACAAACCCACACACACAAACTCCTCCACACACAACCTCCCCACAATCCCAACCGAAAAACGCCCCCCCCACCTCCAGAAAAACAGGGGGATGGATCAGTCAGTCTGAAGTCGAAATATCTGCTTATTAACTAAATAGCCGAATTTTGCTTCGATTTTTTTTTACTGCGAATTTGCGAATGATGTAAAGGCTATGAAACGTATTATAGGCGAGCCGAGTTCAAATTCTAAGAGAGTCTGTTCAAGGCAGCTTCGCTCTACCGCAATTACCACTTGTGAAAGGTATGTATCCATAGCTACTGGTTAAATAGCAAGATATACGAGGGTCTTCAAACTTGGATAACAGCTAGTTTTCAAGGAATACGCTGAATTCAAAATCGTAGATAAGACAACGATAAGACAAGAAGATATGATCATTAAGAAATATGAAAGAAAACGTATTTCTGGAGAACTACGATCGCCTACGTCCTGAATATTCGAGATCTTGGTTAATAATCATCACTGAATTAAGTGCATTGACAAATAAGGAAATATCTGAGAAGTTTTCTACCAGACGACGGTATTGGCGACAGAGATCCGAAGATGCATTGGGATGACCAAAGTTGCCTTACAAAAGCTAAGCAGAGTATTAAAAGACAGAAAAAACTTCGTTAGAAACAAAGAAAAGTGTTCTGAACTGTTACGTGATATATGTCCTCCTATTTGACAGTGAATACTGGACAATCTCCTCAAAAATGAAGACCAGACTTGAAGCGACAGATGTGGTTCTACAGAAAAATTCTGTGGACCGAACATGTGAACAACGACGAGGTTTTAGAGAAAATGGAAACAAAAAGGAAACTTATACTTAACATCAGAGAGAGCTAGTTGAAATTTCTGGGGCGTTTAATGAGGAAGGACGGCTTAGAAGATCTGAAACTCACAGGACGTTTTTCAGAGTGGAGATCACTTCCCGGGTTGCTTGTAAAACTCACTGTTCCTGGGCAGAGAGGAATCCAAACGTGGCAATTTCGAAGGGCAGAGTCTCGTCTGGGGATTGTAAACAGTTACCATTTTCCACCTTATTCAAGATGATCTTCGCCCTCTCAAACTTTCTAACTTTTTGTCCTGAAGTAACAAGGTGCCTCACAGGTTTCACGTGCGATTTTTTTTTCAAGTCTTTTTTCACTGCTCTTTGGACTGTCATAAGAGAAACACCTCTCTCACGTGCCAATCATCTTATGGATTGAGTTAAATCTTTTCTATCTGATCTCTTTAGATCTAAGTTGAAATGACCTTTGACCTCCTGATCTAGTTTTCCTCTTTACTGTTCCATCTTTTTACAACTTTTTCACCGTTCTCTTGATGGTTCTTGCATGGATTTGAAGATGAAAGCCAGAGTATGAATGTTTGTGCCATTACTGAAGGCCTGAAAGATCTTTTTCTTCTCACCATTGCTAATTTTGGAAGACACAGTGAGGCTGACACAAAACGATGTTAACCTGTTTTATTTCTAGCTGAATAAGTCGAAGAGTTTTTCAGTGATTCTTACGACAAATGGTTTCAAGATGGTTAAACGTCTTATCTGAAAACCCGGAGAAAAGAAACTCAATTAGTTTAGTGTTTTTTTGAGATATTAAACATTTTGTTGGATGAAATACGATTTGAACAATTATGTTATACGATTTGAACAATTTTGCTATTATATATATATATATATATATATATATATATATATATATATATATATATGTGTGTGTGTGTATGTGTGTGTGTGTTTGTAGAGAGCGAGAGAGGGAGAGAAGGAGGGTGGGAGAATGCTGGAGTGATTGTCAGTGGCTCGGATTGAGTAATTGAGTTCGAATTCCAGTCGGATCCATTGCATTCACTTACAGGCTAATACCCTTGGGAAAGATACAAACCCAGTTATGGGGGAATAGCAGGACAGACTAGGTTTTATAACCTTGAGTGGCAACTGGTTTGGGAGAAGGAAAAACTTTGAATTGGAAGACAATGTTGCTGACACAAAACGATTTTAACCTGTTTTATTTCTAGCTGAATAACTCAAAGGGTTTTTCAGTGATTCTTATGACAAATGGTGTCAAGATGGTTAAATGTTTTATCTGAAAACACGGGGAAAAGGTACTCAATTAGTTTAGTGTTTTTTTTAGTTATTAAACATTTTGTTGGATGGACAATTTTGCTATCACACTCGGTCTGTTAATATTCTGAAATGTGGTATTTCAACATGTCTCACAATTCGATATGTGTTGAATTAAGAATTTGAAATGTTTTTTCCTGAAAAGTGAAAATGGAAATGAAAAAAAAGCTATACAAACAGAAAACAAAATATTTGATGTTCATGGGTGTGGTGCCATAGCTGATGGTACGGTTCGTAAGTATTTCGCTGGGTACAGTGAAAAGGCCTGCAATCGTTGATGATGACGAAATCAAAATGCTGGTAAAAAATATCTCAGGTCACACGACACGGGCCGCCGCCGAAATACTTCTCATATTTCATACGAGTGTTATAAAGCACTTGAAAACATTTGCATACTTAAAATGCTATGGTGTTTCAAAGCCTGCCTAATTAGTGGAAAACGATTAATGGACTGCATTTCCATCAGCGATTCTCTGCTCAAATGAAACGAAAACAAACCACTTTTTAAAAAGAATGCGCAAAGATGCTCATATGAATAATGGATTGTTTACAGCAATGTGAAGTGAAAAAGGTTTCCGAGAAAAGGAAATGAGCCATCGTTCATCCCTCGTGAAGTCGGTTACAGACGATGACAATGATACTGTGTATCTGGTGGGGTTGGAACTGTATTGTATATTACAAGCTCCTTTCGTAAGGCAAAACGTTGAATTCGCACAAGTAATGAATCTCAAATAGACCGATTAAAGGTAGCAATCAGACAAAAAACAAACAAAAACGCCCGAAATCGGTCAATAGGTTTCGTGCCGTCATCTCCTCCCATCAGGAGAACACCAAAGTTCACGTCTCTTTGTGGGGTCGACAGAAATTGGTACAGTTTGGATGGGATGTCCTGCTATACTCGTCGTGCTCAACTAACTTTGCACCTACGAATTATCAAATATTTCGGTCCTTACAAAATTCTCTTAATAGCAACCTGTAAAACGACTTAGCTACCATTAATCATCATGGCCGATTTGCATCCGAAGAAAATAATGCTGAAATTCTAGTGGGATTGAAAGGGCATTGTGTATTATGCGCTCCTTCCACACAATCAATCCAGATTGTTTGTTATTGGACCGATTTAAGGTCGGAATCGATGAAAAGCATACGGAATTGGTCAATCATAGAAATGTCGTCTTCAATCAGGACAACGCCAGTCTCTTTGCAAATCCAGTAGAAATTGGTACAGCTTGCCCGTGATGTCCTACTAAATTCGCCATACTCACCTGAACTTACAGCTTCAGATTATGAATTATTTCGACCCCTACAAAATTCTATTAATGAAAAAGAAGTTCAGTTCTATAGAAACCTACTAAAAATACTTACATCAGTTCATCATCCAGGAGGATCAGTTCTGGGATGATGGAATCATAAAGCTGCCTCAACGATGGCGAAACGTAGTGGAACAAAATGGTAACATGGTTGAACCATTCTATGTACAAATATTTAAACAGTTTCTTTGAAATTCATTTTCAAAACACTGAGAACTACATACGTACGTACATATTTGCTTATCTATCTCGGTTCGGGAATTTTACAGATTCATCAAAGCCTTGACACGACGAAGGTAACAAGACATGATATTTTCTCAGTGATTATTCCTAAGAACATTAGCCAAGAATTATATCCAAACTTTGCAAAGTTGTTTAATAGCTGGCTAAAGGATAAATGTTTCCCTCGACTATGGCAGATGTCAGCTATATGCGCTGTTTATGTGGGTGAGTGCTCATACCCGTCAAAATATTGGCCAATCAGATCTTCTTAATGTATACAGCAAACGTGTCTATTATCAACAAGAAGATTGTTGATCACATCAACAGAAAAAAATGAGCTGAGCGACAAATTATGGATTTCCCACCTCTAGGTCCACTGATGTCCTGTCATTAAACACAAAACCAGCGAAGAATTCGATAACAAACTCATCACGAGAGCGATTGACTTAAAGGTAATTGACAAAAGGTAGCATATTTAGTTGCTACATAAACTCTCTCACTATGGAATCTCTGGAAGAGTCTTCGCAATTGTTAAGTCCTTCTTATCGCGTAAATAACTATGAAGATGCAACCCGAGTTTATGGTTTCATCTCCAAAGTTCTAGTTGATCAGGGACTTGCAACTGATCTCTCCATTGATCTAGCTCCAACAGCTCAATGCGGGGAAACTGATTTGTAACATTCAATAGTTTAAAAACCAAGTTAGCAATATTTCATTTTTCTTCAGTCATGATGAACGATTTTATCCTCAGAGGCTACTTTCTTTGTACCTCGGTTAGGACTCACAGATCTCAAGTGGAATCCAATAAACGAACCATCTCTAAAGATGCTGAAAAATGGCCACTTCCTCATGCTGCTCCCGAAAGTACCTAAATCCTCCTGCCATGTTTTACAAGAGTCAGATCAGGCAAAATATTGCTGCCATATCTGGTCTAGTGATAGCAAATCTTCATTTTCCAGTTTTGTTCAAAAGAGTTGACGCGTCCGTGTGGGTGATAAATTAATTTCAAATTAAATATTACTGGATAAAATAAATGTAGGGGGAAACTTATCTTTTTAAAAAGGTAAATATTATATTGATAAGACAGCCTTGTGTCAAACTTGCATGAAATTACAAATGACAAAAATGAGCAAAGATAAAACAGGCAATAGAAACAAAGGATTTATCTGTTATTTAAAAAAGTTTTTCTTTTTCTTTTTCTCTTCCTTTTAGTGTCTCTTATATGTTTCTCTATTCTTTTATATTTCTTTTTATCTTTCATCTTTTCTCTTTTTACTTCTTCTTGCTGGGTAGAAAGTTTAACTGTGAAATGGA